ATATTTACAATATCTATATATATATATATATATATATATATTATATATATATATACTGTATATCATTGTAGGTCCACGTGTGTTCTTCAAATTATATATCAGTCGTTGAAACAAAAAATTATGACAAGGCATGTAGACTGTTGAACACGGTATTTATTTTCGAAAAAATTTTTCGGCCAGTCCTTTGGCTTTCATATATATATATTCTTTTAATTTTTGATAATCAATTCTATATATTATATATATTCTTGATACGTTTAAACTGTACCACTCTGAAAATCAGTGCAATAGTACCGAAAGTGCCTACAGTATGAAGAAAGCATAAATAAATAAAATAAAGAACAAATTTTATGTGCTTCAGGTATATAAGCTTAACAATTTGTCGGGAAACTGTGTGATAATTTTAAATCATCATTAGGAAGAAATATTATCCCAGTATGGATTGCGATAAAGTTGCCTCATTTCTATTTTCTTTAAGAATCAGGGCTGCTGTATTTGTGGTGTGGTGGCAGCATTAACCATAACACCATTGTTCCATAATTACTATTCTTGTAGGTGAATCCCAATTTTATGCTATCAATTTCCTCCAAAGAACTAAGTTTCATAATAAGGACACCAAGCCTACATTTAGTCAGTATCAGATTCTACACAATCTAAAATATCTCTTTTATTACTATCACCAACAGTTACAGATACAATATCAAGGGAAAAACAGGACATCATAAAGGAAGCGAACTAACAATTATTGGCAACAATTAAAGTAGCAAAACAATGTCAACGACCAGACTATGTACATACTTGCATTATCGTATTAAACCATGCATTAATTTTTGTGTGTACTCTATGTAATGAGACATTCGCATTTGGTCATGTGTTTGGTCATAGGCGGGCAAAGTATGGCCTGTGGACTACATACGGCCTAGTGGAAAATTATATAAAATATGAAAATTCTGGACCCATTTTCTTAAGATTTTACTTAATTTTGGCTAAATATGAGATCAAAAAAATAAATCAAAAAGTGGACTCATTTTATGCATACAATTGCATAACTTGGACCCATTTTTGAAAATGTGGACCCATTCTTTGTGGACCCATTAGAAAAATTGTGTGGGACTGTCCAAACTTCCCAATAGCTAGCTGTGGCATTGCCAGAAAGTGATATTTTGTTTTAGCAAAATAAAAAATAAAAATAAAAAGCCTCTCTCCGTCATCACTTTCCAACCTATCATCGTCATCATCAATCATAGCCATCATCATCATCAGGCCAGTTCACCCACTGCTGTGAGAAGCCTCCTCTAACATTTTCCATCTACTTCTGTCTGATGCTATTCCTGCTGTATGTAAAAGCCTTTAAAGTCAGGCTCCGGAGGAAAATATGTTTTGATATTTTGTAGATCTGATATAAAAACAGGAAAAAGTTGTTGGATGAAAAATGGAATGGTTATTGAGATACAAATTTTTGAATATTTAAAACCCGGGGGAAAAAGTTGGAAAAAAAGAGTGGTTATGCTAATTTTTCCTCCAGTTTTTAAATATTCAAAAATCTTAGTTTTTAACCATTCCTCAGTTTTTTGTCAAAAAACTTCTTTCTGTCTTAGAAAAATCATATTAAAAATTTCTTTTCCTCAGGAGCCTGACTTTAAGCAGAATAAATTCTACAGTATTATTAACAAATCAATCAATTAGTCAATTAATCTAATCAATTAATCAATATATAAATGGTCAAACGAACAAATTATAATTAATCAATCAACAACTAATCAAAATTTCTACAACATATATATTTTTGCCAAAATTAGTTCATACTTAATGAAAATGAGAATAGATAATTTAAATAACAAAGAAATAAAACTATTTTTTTTTCTTTACAAATAAACCAATAACATTATAGAAAAAAAAATATTTACAAAACTTTAAAAGAATGTTATTTGAAAATTTGAGACAGGATAATGTAATAGACTGAAAACAATTACAGGAAATCCGGCTTCAACAGCATAATAAAATTTATGCTTAAGGGTTCAAATAAGAAATAAGTCGGTACGTGGGAAATTCTGATAAGAAAAAGAGCACAGATTAATAGGATTAACAACGTTATACACAGAAATCTATAAATTGATTGAAGGTAAGCGAAGGTAAACAACTACCAAGAAACATGCTAAACACAACCAATTTGTAAGCACATAAAAAAAAAAAAACTAGTGGAAATATGCTCGCGGTTAGTGATAATAAAGGATTTCTAATGTATCTTTCCATTCACATCAGTAATAACAGTAAATACTATATTAATACAGTGCCCGACCAACAGTATTTTTATGAAAATATTTGTATTTGTTTTCAATAAATCCTGATTCTTTTTTTGGTTTTTAAATGGAAATAATATTTCATGAATGTTTTCCCTTGTCAAAAGTTCCGGAAGAAAGTTCTGACTCCCCATAAGCGAAGTTTAGGGATCATCCACATTTTCAAAAGAGTAAAAGAGATACCCTTTTCTGTAACCCCCTTCTCTTTCCGCCTAAAAATACATATAAAAACCAGGATTTTTGTCATTTTGAGATCATCGGTTATTCTGAGCATTCTGAGGAATTTTATGGTTTCAACCTATAGAATTGATGATCTTCTTATTTTTTTCATTTTCATAAAAGAATACAATACAAAGGCTATGTTTTTTTATTATAAGGTTCACTTGTTTAGTTGGTCCAAAGGAAACATTAATATCCTAACTCCCAGATTCTGGCATAAAGCACAATCTTAGAAAAATTAGAGAGAAGAGAACAAGTTAGCACTAGACGTATATTGCAAGTAGCAAGAATATTGGGAAGATGGATTTATGGAGGATATTAGTTTTGGTTGTAGCTTCTGTTGGGCTTTCAGCTGGTCAAGTAAGTCTCCAACCGTCAGGGCCCACCATACTCCAACCTGTTGGACTTGGAGTCACAGTGTACTGTGTGTTTCAAGGCATTGGTTCCTTTCAGCCTACATGGAGGGATCCACAAAATAATGAAATAACTCCAAGTGGTGGTCTCATTAGTGTGACATACATATCGTCTACAAACAGCAAGTTAGAAATTTCCAGTCTTCGGGAATCAGACACAGGAGTTTATGTATGCGATTCACCTGGTGGACAGAAATCGATTGCTATCACAGCATACAAAACGGTGGAATTTACAAATACCCCCTCTGAACAATCGTTTGAGATATACACTGATGCACGGGTAATTTGCGAACCGACATCAATTCCAACGTCTACCTACGAATGGAAATTTGGCACAAAAAACATTGAAGCAGCAAGTGATCAAAAATACACGATTGAAAGCCTTAAGTACCTACAGATTAACAACATAAGCAGTCAAGATGGGGGAGTGTACACTTGTCAGGCTACTGTATTAGGTGGAAATTATGAAACAAATAGTAGACACATAGCAGTACAAGTACTTGTGCCTCCCAAAATCACTCTAGGGCCGCAAGACTTCAAAGGTATTCTCGGCAAAAATGCCCAATTCAAGTGCATAGCTATTGGAGACCCTCAGCCAGTATACACTTGGAAAAAAAACAATGTTGAGATTGTATACGGAAATCACTTTTCCATCCAAAATGGCGGTCAGTTGCTAGTGATAAATAATTTGCAAAGTGACGATTTTGGCTCGTACAAGTGTGTCGCAAGTGTTGCTGGTCTTCCAAATAAGGACGCCGAGTATTCTGCGATCCTAAGTGAACTCATTCCCCCGACCGTTCAAGAGGATGTTGAAGTGACTATTGAAAATGGGAAAGTTACCTCAACATGCAGTCAACATAGTACTGTTGTCATCATTTCAATGGTCATACTTACGGTTCCATAATGAACACGACATCAGCATTACTGCAGATAATGTACTGTAACAAGCTTGCCAAGGAAAAAATAAACTTCTATGCAATGTATTCATGGCTTCTATGATTTGATTTTGCTTGGTATACTATGCTCTTTAAAATTATGCAAATAACAAGCAATAGCATTAAATTACTGAATTGATGTTTATTTTTACAAGTATGTACAATATATATAAAATTACGTTTAACATACACTAAGAAATTAAAGCTGGGCAGTCGATGCGCCGTGCGACGGTTGTACGGGTGTCGGCCGACGAATCCAACCTCGCTCCCTGTGAGCGCTTGACGACTTGACACCGTTTGCTAATTGTCGGTGGCAGTCTGAATGGATTGTCAATAAATGCGATCCGTTGAGCGCACGTCGTGTCATTGCGTTCCCTACGGAATCGCGTTGGCTGACAACCGTCGGGCACAATGAGTGCATAACTTTAGACAATGGAACATTTTAAAAAAATATCAGAAAAGCAATTACGACAAATTATTAAAAAAAAAAATGGATCAAGTAGACAAATGTTCATCAAAATACAATGAAAATTTCAAATTTCAAAACATTTCACGTAATTGAAAAATAAGAAACAAGTAATAACAATAAAATAATATAATATATTCAAATGTATTTTGTACTCTATTATGCTGTCAGGAAAACTCAGTGAGAGTACATTGTGTTGCTTTTGGGCAATTGATACTATTTTGTTATAGTGTTATATATACATGATATATTAAGCCCTCCAAAACTGTTTTTGTGTCTTTCGTCAAAACTTTTGAGTATATTATTTTTTAGTCAGGATATGAACTTAAGACTCTGGTTCAACTTAGTCCTTAGCAAAATAAAATTAAGAAAGCTAGTTTAATCAGATCACAAAAATGAAAGCAAATATGTTTGTGAGACAACATGCATTTGCGCAGACAAGTGTGCATTCCTATCTTTGTTGTGATTTGTTAGTTGTTAAGAGTAATTGACACTGCAGAAAGTGCGTTTTTTTTCAAGTGATATAGAGTCCACATACGAAATACGAATGAACTTTATTATCTTTCATTATTATTAACAAAAGAAAAGCATCTTCAGTTGGCAAACGCAGACAAAAAATGTTAAAATCCAGAAGAAAATCTAAAAATTTCATAGCGTAATTATCATTATCATTTTAAAACATCACATTCAAAAATACTATATCGTTATTTTCTATGAACGTAAGAATTAAAAAATATGAATACTATCATGGATAAAAGTATTACGCAGAGGGTTTGTGTTGTTACCTTGAGTGTTGAGCCTAAGACTGGATCTGTTTAGTGTGTACAGCTGGGACAGTATATGAGTTTCGTCTTCATTTATATGCCTAACCTTATTTACCCTATCCATATAACTTGATGCATCTGGGAATGGCTATATCCTGAGCTTTCATTCAGTGATTGGCTATAATGCAAAATATAACCAGTGTACCATTGACAAATACTCAGCGCATCACGCAAATTTAAAGATTATAATACAAGATAACCAACCACTGGCAGCTGTGTTTTGAGTACAGGTCAGGTGGATTTTGAAATGAAGGGCAGTTAGATTTTCCACTAATGGTATAGGGTCCATCTGTAATAATATTTAGTTGTTGAAAAATTGATGGAGAATAAGAAATTTATAAGGAAGCAATAAACCTTGAACTAGTACTGGCCAGAAGCAAGTCCTTTAAAAAGAACTATAAAGGAAATATAAAAAAAAGCCTCCAAATGCTATTGCAACAGATGATTATTCAATACTGTCCAATTAAAACATAAAACAGGATTTTCTACAGACAAATGTACTTAAGGGTTTTAAGAAACAGGAAAGGATGAACAGATACAATATCAGTACTACAGTAGAACCTCGTTTTTACGTACCCCAGTTATACGAACCCTCGGTTTTACGTACGCCTCGTATCGACGATGTCGTCATAAAAAACCCCGAAAATATTCAAAACAAACAGCCCTTTTCAGAGCAACCATAAGTACTATAACAATAAACTATAACAATAAACAAACCATAATGCAACGTATTTTCATTAAACAGCAATGCTGATTGAGTCTAATATCGGGTTGTTATAATCTAAAACCATGTGAACTGAGTGAGATGAACAACTACCGATGGTTCTCAAAATAATTGCTTTCCTCCTTTAGCTTCGTGTGGCAAAATCGTCTGGTCGAATTTTCGAAGAGGAGTAGACATAGTTTCGTACACGAACGCTAATTGGTTGGCTCGCCCAAAGCATAGCACATGGTTGCTGTTTCACGTACACGAACGCTAATTGGTTTTAGTTTGTCTCAACAGGCCTAGACAACACCACAGCTCTGTTGTTTAGAATAGGCATGAAGGGGAACTCCCAAGTTATACCTTTGTCGTATAGGTAATCTTACAATATTTTCATGTTCTTTAGTTAAATAAAAGATACAAAGTGATGAATTAATACAACTAGACACATGGTTTTATTTGAACACTTTAATATTATGACATCGTAAATTGATGAATAAAAACACTAAACACATGGTTTTATTCGTAGGCCTAGGTAACATCGTTCGTTCGTTCATACATACGTTTATTGAGCGTTACCTACGTATTAGGTCAAAGGTTACCATAAATTTAACCCAACATCTATTTTACGAATCCCCCGATTTACGTACGCCCTCCGGTCCCGTACCGTACGTAAAATCGAGGTTCTACTGTATATTGTTTTATTAAACTGTTCACTTCTGATTCTGAAAACAATATAAAGCTTATAAGCTTTCAGCAGCAAAATTGATTTAAATGATTATACAATTTAAATGATACAAAATAAATAAAAAATAAATAAATAAAATAATTAAATAAATAAAATAAATAAGTAAATGATTGAATGATGAAATAAAAAATAATTAAATAAATAATTAAATATAAAACTAATTAAGTATTTAAATAAACAAGAATTAATAAATAAAATAATTAAATGATTAAATGATTGAATAACTAAATAAAAAATAATTAAATACAATAATTACAAAAAAATAAAGAAATAATTGATTAAATATATGCCACTTTAAAAAGGAAGTGTTGTTGAATAAGTGATTTTGTCACTATGTGCCAAATAAACATGTGTTGCCAAATCCAAACTTCAGTGAACCCCTCATTTGGGACACCCAAATTAAGGAGATGTCCCTATTGAGGGACACTTTTTTCTGCCACAAAATGAAGGAATGTATATTTATATCTTATGGCGAACTGAAAGGTCCACTGATTATCTCAGATAAGATAGTATAATATATACTCCAAGTATCGAAATGCACGCCATTGTGTCGGGATTCAATATTTTGACATTAATTATGTCACCATCTGGAATGATGGCAAACTGATTTTTAGTTTTTATGGTTTTTTTTTTTTTCTTTTTTTTTTAAATCATAATTTATATAGCGCCCATCACAATCTGGAAGATTTCCCTAGTCGCTGGATACCGAGTTGACAAATCGGCACATTTTTTGCGCTACTTGGAAGTATAAAAAAAAGAGTATTACTAGCCATTACACTTTCAAACTTTTTTTTAATGGTACGCAAGTACTTGCATTTTGTTTTATACTATGAAATGTTCTACTTGTAAGAAGCTCTTTTAAATTAATGAAATCTGGATAAACTTCAGGGCATGATAAACAACATGGTCTAGCATAAGACAGGTTTTCTAGCCAACATGGAATCAAGTGGGCATTCAGCTTCCTAGTTCCTGTAATGGTTAATAAATGGTTTTACATTTCTATAGCAAAAGTTAAACAGTCTAAAATTTATTCAATTCAATTCAATTCCAACCAGTATTTATTGGCAAATACAGTAAAATACACAGTTTAAAATATCAGTTGTTTGTTCACAAATTAAAAATAAAAATATGATACAATCAAATACTAAAACACAAACATTTAAAATGTTAAAAAATAAAGGTAAAATTTGTAAAAGTTAAAATGCTGTAAAATGCTATCAAATAAAGAAAAAAAAAAATGCTTTTATAGCCACACTCCTTTGAAATTATTTCTGATTCTTATCTAATTTTATCGTGTATGAAAATCAAACGCATTCAAATAGCATATGGGTCAACATCTTTAGCTTAATTATTTTTCCATCCTGTTTAATGTCTGTCCTAACAAGAGAAGAAAAAAAAACATCGTCAAAGAGGACAAATTTATACAGGAAGCAAAGTAAAGACCACAATAGATCAAATTCACTGAAAGCATCAATTGTGGGTTTATGGTGTAGTACCTATCAACTCTTTACAATGAGTGACTCATAAAGGATAAACTTAAATAATAGGTGTTCTATATACAATAGTATAATTGTTGAGTGATGGTGAGTTATTTTTGATCTACCTATTGTTAGGCCTATTATATACTTTATTGTCATTGTTCAGCTCTGGAGCCGATGGCCTGGGAATCTGGGATAAGGTGGCAGCACTGTTTGGTGCTAGGGTTGTCGTCATAACTCTTATGGGCTTCAAATCACACCAAAAGGCTTATCTTTGCCCTGAAGTTAAAGCCAGGCTGCGGAGTTAAAAACATTTTTGATATGTTACCTGATTTTCAAAGACACAAAAAGAATATTTGACGACAAACATCGGGAGTGGTATAAGATATAAATTTTGAAATATTTATAAATGTGTGTAATTGGTAGAAAAAAGGTGGTTATGCCCCCTTTGAACCCAAAATTTATATAAATAAAAATCTGTATCTCATTAACCACTTCCGAATTCTTTTTAGTTATGCTCTTTGTGTTTTAGAAAAATCAGTTGTACGACATCAAAAAGCTGTTTCCCTCTGGAACAAGACTTTAAAGAACTTCTACCTACCCAGAAGAATTACCTTGCAAGTTCAAATGCCAAGTGCTGATTAAAATAATACCAATACAAGTAGGTAGATTATATAACACAATAAACAAACTACCAATTACAAATAGACAAAAAAAAAAATAAATGTAAAAACAGGGATGTGCTATTTGCTCCATAGAAAAATTCTGATGGTGGTAATGAGATTAGTTTTAGCATACCTCCATCCAGAAGCACGAGTACCTGGTACGGTAGGATGTCGTCGCATTGGATTTTATGGTTGTGCATTATATAATGTATTGCAGCATACTCCCTAGGATGCACTGAAAGTTACACATCCGGCTGGGTTTGCCAACCACAATTGGGTGATTTAAGGGGTAGGGCAGCGACGCTGCTAACTACAGCCTAACATCGGCGCTGTTTCAAGTCGCTCCTCCTAAAAACTCAGTGTACCCATCTGGCTTCCGTGTACTTTAAAGAATCCATTGCATCTTCCGCAACATTAGGGGGTGATCCTATTGTTCATTTCAGTCCCGGTTGTTGTGGAATGACTTAAACATGAATGTACTTTAGGTGCCTCTCTACACCATTCCCATATGCAATTCAGCATAATGAAAGTGCAAATTATGGGTCATTTTCCTAACTTCACCTTATCAAGGCACCAACAA